GACTTTACCAGGCTGTTTCTGTCTGTTTTTTTCTGTCTGGGTGTGTTTGACTCTCAGCTTCACTCACACAGTTAGTCGGCGACTCTTACATCATCTCTGCGAAACATTCCTCAACAGGTGAAGATGCTGATATTTACCTTTTATTTAGTTCTTGTGCCTCAGCTGTTAAGCTAACGGACTCGCCGCTTGGGAGTGTTACCATGGTGACAGGCGGATGGAATAGGGCTCAGAGCCGCAACCCGACAAAACCGAAGCAGAAGACCGGCAAAGGCTCTAAGATCCTGAAGGGAACTCAGGCAGAGACCCGCAGAGGGATACCGGTGAGCCGATCCAAGGAGATAAAGCTTTCCAAGGTGAGTCTATATTTGTGTTTGAAGCACTAAAAGCCTCCAAACACAATTTTAAACTGAATCATTTAACTTTTCTTTTTAGTTTGCAACATTCCTTATGCAAGAATTGCAAATAATTAATGGAAGTGATCATCATTACTGCTTTTTGTTAGGCAAGTGTTATTTAATATAAGTAAAAAAATAGCTTTCATTATTTCTATCAGTGCATTTTACAGGAACATGTCACATAAACAAGTCTGCTGATAAAGTATAAATACTGTTCTGTTAGCTGTTTCTTCATTTGTTTTTTTTCTACTTGCAGTCTCAATAAATGTTAATATAATGAAAAATATATTTGATGTAACGATACCTTTTAAAAGTCACTCAAACTGGTCAAATATATTAATGGCATGTAGAATCTACATGCCTGTTTGCTGAAATGTAACAGACCAAAATATTGCATTCAAGACATATTTTGCAAACATCATTGATATTTTGATTGCATTTATTATTTTATATATGTGTAGCTGAAACATATGCCAGATTTACCAAGAATTATGGCTACACCATTAATGAAGAAATGGATGCTGTGCTTGTGGAAATTATGACTGACAGTGTGAGTATTACATCGACCTCCTATTATGACAGAGAACTGATTAATGAAATGTTCCTCAGAAAGTTCCACCTAAGAAAGAAGAGCGCGATCACACCGGTTCAGGTCCATATAAGCATGAAGATTCAAAGTCAAGGAAGAAGATCATCAGGTACCAATTCTACACTCTTGCTTCATGAACTCATTCAGGTCTGATTGTGAAGAACTTTCATAAGTTAGGATCCACAACCTTTTTCTTCTCTTTGCTGTGTGTCTCAACTGCTGTGAGTCCTAGCACATATATGCCATTTATAGGACTAACATTTAAAATAAATAACATCAAATACTTGAATTTATGTTTTTAAGCCTGAAATTTATAATTTCTTCAATAACATTTGGAGATGAATCATCTAGTTTAGTTTTAGTTTTTTTTTGATGATCAGTGACCAAACCATACATTAAAGGAAATGAAAAGTTCCAAATGGAAATGATTCAGTATCATGATCATGAAATTATGTTAAGTTATAACATTTTACATTTGTATGTGGCTTATAGAGAATACTCAGAGTGAAGTTAAACAATAACTCTTAAATATTAATTCTTTGAAAACAATCTCCACTTACACTAATATATCATCTTCATAAAAGATGTGTTGATATGTTGAACTATCAAGAGAATAATTTATGAAGAACTATTGAGCAGCCTAACTTGTTTCCAGTTGTAGTGCTGTCAGTGTAAACTAGACTAGATCAGTTTTTATTTTATTCTTCATTCTACTGGTTTTTGTTCTGTTTTGACAGGAGATCTCAAAGACTTCAGGACCCTTCAGGTAAGGACAGCAACATTTAAAACATTACATTACCATAGACTTCTGAAACCTCCTTAAATATAAGGCAATATCTATGTTTAAGAAATTAAAATAACATAGTTTGAGCTGTAAGCTGTTAACCATCACCCATTAGTGCTTTCAGTTTTTTTATTTAGCTTTGATGAGCTAACCATTTAGTATTCAACTAATAACTATATAAATGACGAGTTTCCCCGTTGTACCTTTTTTCATTCTGTTCCCCAGTGTCTCTTATATTTGACTGCCATTTTTCTTGGTTCTTTGTTATTAAACCCATTAAAATGCTTGTGTGACACAATAATACACAGATAATCAGTAACATTATTTTTATCAGGTTTTGATCACAATGATCAAATGTGCTTTTAGCAATTAATTGAAAATTTATGTTTTATATCGAGATGATTTCCATAACTTAGATATTTACACTCTGTCTTGGGTCCCAGCACATTTGTTTGATCCAATATATTAATAAAAAAAATTTCATATTTTTTTTCTCAAAGCTTTAACAGTTTTCTTATGGTTTTGTATGAAATATGTTTTTGTGTAAAATGCGTTTCAGGGAGCAGGAGGAGTGGGGTGAGAAGAAGCACCCGGCCGACCACACAGACCAGCAGATACCAGGCCTCTAATGTGTTTAATGGGAACAACAAGTAAGAAGACTCACTGGTATAAACAGGAAATAAAACAGACAGCAGCAATTAGAAGGTTTTCTGTTTGAATTTGATTTCTAATTGCTTTTAAATAGAATTTACAATTTTTTTTGTCATTTCTGCAGGCTAAATAAGATCATGCAACTATAAAAAAAACAACAACACCTGAGATCATATTCTTGTTTATTATGTATAATCTGTTTTTTGCATTTTCTGGAGATAAAATGTTAAAAATTTTCAGTATATCTGTTAAAAGAAATGCACTAGTCAGGTCAGAAAAATCTTAATCATGAATTTTTTTTTAAAGTGTTGATAACAGGTTAAATCATGTAATTTATATAAAATTTTATCCCTTGTTCATAGACACATCTTACATGATACATTTAAAAATTATGCTGTTTTTGTGTTTGTTGTGCATACAAGAAGAAAAGAACATTTTGATCAAACAGGTTAGATTTTAATGACTGACATTCATCTTGAATATAATTTCTCTGCAGCCATGGAAGCCTGAATGGGACAAACAACCTGAGGAAAAACCCACTGATTAGTAACAACAAAGATGGAGTGAGTGTGGACTAAAAACATTGACATGGATATCTATATGCTTTACTCCAATTGAAGAATGATTTTTATTTTAATGGATTTTTGAAACAAATAGGGCAAAAAATATAATAGGTACAGTAGTCTTATTAGTGCCAACAAACAGGTTATTGTTATTATACTCTCAGAAAGATGAACCTCCTTTCAGTCTTCTTTTCTCACTGCTAGTTAATTTTCCCTGTTTATAATGAGGAGCTGGATGACCTCTGACTTGACTTAATTAAAAATACTCAATTAAATAAAACTAAGCATACTAATTTGAAAATATTTCGATTTTGCAAAAACTTGGGGATTTTTATTTGGCTAAGCAAACATTTTTTTTTTCAAAAAACTTTCTTTGGCTACAAAAAACCTTGTTTGAGTAAAACTTTTATTAAAAAAAGTATATTTAAGTATAATTTGTTTATTTGTAGTCATACTAATACCACATTAGTTTTCTCAGTTTGGGTTTTCTTTATGATAAGAAGATTCAGCATAGTGGTGAAGTTACTCCATCTTAGCAGTATATAACTAATAATATGAAAAAGTATTAAAAAAGATAAAAACCTAATTCAAAATAAGGGAGCCATTACAGTAAGGTGTGAGCTGATACAGTAAATGGCATCAATAATCAGCAACATTTCCTTTATGTTTGAGAAGAAGCTGCCTCTAAACATAGCTCAGTTTTCTGCACAGTTCCTGTTTTGTTGTTTTGACAGCATGCTGCTCACATGTGTTTACATTCTGCAGGAGGTTTAAAGCCCCAGTTCAAAGTGTTCTCACAGTCTGCAGGGGTGGGCACCCTCTGTCTTATCAGCTCACTGTGAGGGAGGTGCACCCAGCTGCACGCAGACTTCTCCGTCTGCTCACGGCTTGTGAGGAAGGGGTGACGGCTCTATCAGCTGCCAACATATTGGAGGGGGCTGAAAGCTTGAGGAGTATCAGAGCGTTCTTATTTATGTCACATGAAGTTAAGGAGATGATCAGGTTTAGATCTGTTTGGATGTGATGACAGTTTTCTTGTGAATTTTCTGAAGTTGCAGGAGTTCATTTGGGTTATTGGTTCTGTTTGGTATAACCTGAAAAAACTGCAGAGGGGAGCTTTAAATGAGTCATTGCTGAGGTCAAAGGTCCTGTGTGAACAATCATATAAAATGGAGGAGTTCCACTATAGAATAAAATATCTAACCATGAAACAGCTGCTTATTTCACCTATTAAAACAGAAACATTTCATGCAAGAGGTTGAAAAAAAGATTGATGACCCATGAAACAAATCTAACTGAAATGAGAAAATCATTTCATTTCTATCTAATTATGGTTTTATTAAAGGTTTTCAATAAACAAACATCCATTTAGTGCGTCGGAATAAGTGTAAGAGCATCATGTCAGCAGACCTTTGTTTTCTCTGGCAGTTTCTGTAAATTAATTCTTAATACTAATAAGAATTAAATTTTTTTTTAAAAGCTATTTTCATAGCCTCTTAGAAATGACAAAAGTAAAGCTGTGCAATTTAAAAATCCCCAATTAATAGAGAGAAAAACAGGGTCTGATGACCAAACTGTAAAATGTTGCTTAGAATCATAATTTTCTGATATCATTTATCAAAAATACAATACATACATTAATTTGTTGACCCAGTTTTTTTTATTTATAGACGAATTACTCCAAAGCCCAGAGGAATAAAACATCAGGACCACTGCAGAGGGAACTTAGTGGCTCCGATGAGGACGATGGTTTGTGCAATCATGAAGCAGCAGGAGGAAACAGTTTGGATGTTTGCTAATTCTCTTCTTCTCTGGTATTTGCAGGTGATACCGCTGATGTAGATAGCGGGCTTGGAACAACTGCAGATGAGGACAGTAACTGCAGCATGAACCAGAACTTCGACGCTAGACCGGGTCAGGATTCATCCATGAATGAGGGATCCAGCAGCAGTCAGTTTGATATATGAGGCTACGTCTGCACTCATAACACTATAAACATGAAAGAGGGATATGGAGTCAGTAATCACAATTTATTTTAAAAAATCAAAACAGAAGGAGACATGAAAAAGTGGATCTGGTTTAGAGAACATGTTGAAGCACTCTGACCATTTAGATGAGTAGAAAGAAAATAATTTGTCAATTATGATACAAATATCCTGATTTATATTTGTTTTTCTGTTTTACACTGTTTAGAGTTTCTGAACAGAACCCCCCTTACAGGAACGAACCCGATCCGCGGGCGAGCCTTCAGGTGAGACCAACCACCACAGCTTTCTGTCTCCTGTCTGTCCACAGAGTCGCAATAAAGGGGAAATAATTGGAGAAAACATGATTGACTGACTGGAAGAGGCCTTTCTTTCACTGATTTATAGTAGTTTTTCATCAGACTAGGTTCTGCTATTCTTCTGATTCACAATACTTAAACTGAGTTCAACTCAACTAGAACAGCAGGTCGATGCGTGGCATTGCCGCACAGAAGAGAAGCAGACACAGAAGGTTTGTTGCACAGTCTGAGAAGCATGGAGGAGATTCCACGAGACAAGTGGTTACTGTAGGAGAGCTGAACACAAAGCAGTGACAGGACAGCTAACTGCTCCTTCGTGCTGGAGCCCACAAAGTGACCCTGAGTGGGTCTACCACAGTTCTCTCTCACCAACAGATTTTATGAGGATGAACATACCAGTGCTGGACAAAACATTTTTTAGGTCTGGGAATGAAACCATAGACCTGCTTAAACCTTGCGCTTCTGCAGGGAGTGCAGGGCTCCTTTTAATTCTTCTTGGTTAATGATAATGCTGGGCTTCATGCCAAAAATACCAGGCAGATCCTAGAGGATGAATAAACACAAAGAGACACGTTTATTTGTATCACAGATTTAGATTTAGTGTTTTTTTCCCCCCATAATAATAAAAACCCTTTATCTGAAAACGACATTTTGTGTTTTCTTATGTATGTGACTAATATTTAAATAATTTTTCAGGTTCTGAAACACTTAGATATGAAAAACCTGTACACAAAAATAAGAAATTATGTTTATATTAGCTTCTGACAGGAATTATCCTTCATCGGAATCTTAAAAACTCATCTTTTGTTTGCTTCTTTTTTTCCCTTTAGAGTGACTCAGAGTGTTTGGTCTAATGACTCTGATGATGATGACTCAGACAGCGAAGATGAAAAGGACTCTAGCAGGTCAGCGGAGACAAGGAATCTCTAACTGAGTGCTGGAACCAAATTTTGGACCCGGTACCAATAAGTCCAGTGTTGATAAAATCAATTAAAAAACATTTAAAGGGAAAATTTTCAAATAAAAAAATAAAAAATATCAATGGTGGTCTTATTTTTTCCCTATGACTATTTTTAAAATGTGTTTGTATCCAAGATAATGTTAGAAGCATTTTCCATGATTTGTTTTGCAGCCGAGCTCAAGGTCTGCGTAAAGAGGAGCTTTTCAGGACTCGCAGAGACAAGTCTGCAGGAGCAGGTCTGGCTGACATCGATCCCATGGCTATCGATCAGTTTGTAAGTTAAACCATCAAATCTTCCGGTTAAGGGCCTCTGTCTTCCCCTTTGCTACCCTTTCCATCTCTATAATTTATATATAACATCAGATTCTCTAACTTCTCAGCCCATTCCCACAAATATCTCTGCTTGAATGTTTTCTCTCTGTCCTTGTTTATCTTGCTGTCTCCTCAGGTGGGCTTTGACAGCATTGGTGGACTGGCAGGTCACATCTCCGCTCTAAAGGAGATGGTGGTCTTCCCTCTTCTCTACCCAGAAGTCTTTGACAATTTCAAGATTCAGCCTCCCAGGTGACAAAGACACAGACGATGCAAAGCTCTGCAGAATTTATTTACATCCTCTAACGCTACGTTCCATTAAGCTTTAATATATTAACGTTTAAATATCAAACTTGCTTTAACTGTGTTCAGGGGTTGTCTGTTCTATGGTCCCCCTGGGACCGGGAAGACGCTGGTTGCCAGGGCGTTGGCCAATGAATGTAGCCACGGTAACAGAAAGGTGTCATTCTTCATGAGGAAGGGAGCCGACTGCCTCAGCAAGTGGGTGGGCGAGTCGGAGCGGCAGCTACGGCTGCTGTTTGAGCAGGTAACTTTGAGCAGATTATGACATCACTGCTAAAAAAAATAGGTTCAACAAATATCAGGTTTGATGGGTTGAATGATGATAGTGAAGTAGTCAAGACCACACCACCAGAGACCAATGAGTACTGAGACAAGACTAAGACCTAATATGGTTTTAGTCTTGTATGTTTTCTAAATGTGGTTCTTCTTTAATGTGTTGGCACCTGAAATGCTATAAAGTGGAAAAGAGAATCATTATAACGAAAGTTGATGCTTCTTAAAGTCTGGACTATCATGTTTTGTGTTTCTTCAGGCGTATGACAGACGTCCCTCCATCATCTTCTTTGATGAGATCGATGGTTTGGCTCCTGTTCGATCCAGCAAACAAGATCAGATCCACAGGTCTTTACAGCCTCTAAATGGACAGATTTTTACCTTTGCTCACAATCGATGGTTCACGATGATCACATCCTCATTTTGAAACCTCTGCAGCTCTATCGTTTCAACTCTGCTGGCTCTGATGGACGGGTTGGATAGTCGAGGGGAAGTGGTGGTTATCGGAGCGACAAACAGGCTGGACTCCATCGACCCGGCTCTACGGCGTCCGGGACGCTTCGATCGGGAGTTTCTGTTCGGCCTTCCTGACAGAGAGGTAGCACTAACAGCTGATCTGCATTTTACAACTTAGTTGATAATATAAGGAGTTAAAGGAATAGTACACCCAAAAGATGATTAGCCTTCATTTTCTACTCACCCCCATGCTGAACAACACTCTGGAGTACTTTTTTGATATCTCAAATGCATCTGGAGATCTGGGAGGCTTCTTGCTGTCTGCTGACATTCAAATAATGGAGGTCTATGGTGACCGAGACAGAAAGGTCCATAAAAGTCCACAAAAAACGTGTCAATATTCCTCCATACTGCTCGTCCAATGTATTCCAAGTGTCCTAAGTGGGTAGCATCCAGAATTTACTCGAAACGAAGTCATTTAGAATGTTTTTAGAGCATAAACAGTAGTGTATAGGATTTCCTGAAAGCGCGCACATGCGCGCTCACGACGCTACGGAAGCCAGCAGACCAAGCCAGATGAAAGTGCGCATTCAGCGTCTGCTCTGCCAATAATGCAAGCGTAGAAGAAGAAATGTGCTGTTTACCTGTGCAAAGAAAGAAACAACGAAAGAAAAATGTCTGAGGACTTCAGTGTTGAGGAAGAGCATGAGTTCTTTGCCGAGCTGAATGCGCTGGTTTGGTCTGCCGGCTTCCGTAGCGTCGGGAGCACGCTTTCAGGAAATCCTATACACTACTGTTTATGCTCTAAAAACATTCTAAATGACTTTGTTTCGAGTAAATTCTGGATGCTACCCACTCAGGACACTTGGAATACATTGGACGAGCAGTGTGGAGGAATATTGACACGTTTTTTGTGGACTTTTATGGACCTTTCTGTCTCGGTCACCATAGACCTCCATTATTTGAATGTCAGCAGACAGCAAGAAGCCTCCCAGATCTCCAGATGCATTTGAGATATCAAAAAAGTACTCCAGAGTGTTGTTCAGCATGGGGGTGAGTAGAAAATGAAGGCTAATCATGTTTTGGGTGTACTATTCCTTTAAAGTCTTTAAGACCTTAAAGTTTTTGCTGGTAAAACTTTAAAAATAGTTTATTTTGAATGATATTTATAGTGACTTGTATTTCTGATTAGAGGATTAAATTGTTGGAGGTGTTGCATGTTTGAAATGTTGATTTTATAAATGTTTTTTTTTTTTTTGCATTTTGTTTCAGTCACGTAAAGAGATCCTTAAGATCCACACCCGGCAGTGGAAACCTCCTCCTTCTGAAGACTTTCTGGATGAACTTGCAGAAAAATGTGTTGGTAGGTGGAAGGAAAGACATTTATTGTATTGTTTATGGTTTATTGTTAAGTTGCTAGTCATGAGAAGAAGTTTGATTTATCAAACTTTAAACATTAAATTAAGTAAAAACCTAGAAACGGGATGTATTGTCAGAATTTTATTTTATTTTATTTTATTTTTTTCTTTCTTTTCTTTCATTTTTTTGAGTCATTAATACACTGCAAAAAATGGAAATCTAATTAAGTAATTTTTACTTAAGTAAGTGCATTTTTTTTTCCAATTGAGGACGAAAGTGAGACACTTTGCCAATGGAACAAGACAATTTACATTAGAAAGGAGAAAAAACAATTGCATTGTCTTATTTCAAGTTCATATTATATAATTATCTTATTTTAAGAGTAAAGATACTAATTTCATTGGCAAATCATTGTATTTACCCACTTAAATTAAGGGTAAATACACTAAATTATAGAATTTTTAACTTAATTCTAGATCATTTTTGCAGTGTACATTTTGAGGAACTTAAATTGATTTGATTACTATGAAACATTAAGTGTTAAAAATCATACATAAATATGTAACTAGAGAAAGTGAATTTAAATGTGTATTTGTTACTGTGGGGCTATGGCCTTAGAGGTAACTGAGAAAGAATGCAAAGCAATAAGGTTTTTTTATCGTCACTTTTATCATTATCACGATAATATCACCCAATATCATGATCAGAAATTAAGAGCATATCACTCAGCCCTGGTGTTTAGGATGAAAAATCAATTATCCTTTTTCATGTCCGATCTTGTATAACCTAAACTCTTACAGGTTACTGTGGTGCTGACATTAGGGCGGTGTGCACAGAGGCAGCTCTGTGCGCGCTGCGCCGTCGCTACCCACAGATCTACGGAACCTCCCAGAAGCTCTTGCTGGACGTCTCGTCCATCTCCGTCAGCAGCTGTGACTTTGTAGCAGCCATGAGGAAGATGAAACCGGCCTCTCAGCGTTCCAACGCCTGTCCTACCAAACCGCTGTCCAGGGTGGTTCGGCCCCTGCTGGGAGCTGCTCTGTGCCAAATCCTGGAGGTTGTGCAGAAGTTGTTTCCACATGCTGAGCAGGGGATGAAGAGGAAATGGGATCCGGGTGAGAGAGAGCTGAAGGTTAAATGCACTTCTGTTGTATTACTGAGTAGAGTCTTATTTGGAAATGTTATGTAATGTTAGATCTGACCTCTGGTGTCCTCGACGATGGACTAATGAATGGAGCAGATGGAGGCTCCTCAACCTGCAGCATCTCTGCTCCTTCCACCTCCCAGAGGAAAACCTTCCTGCACTTTGCCAGGTGAAGCTGAAAAAAAAAATCTGATTAAAGTAAAACAAAGAAACCAACATGTTGGTTAAAGAGAGACAAAGAGAAATCTAAAGCTTTAGGATAATATCACCTAATTCCATCTAACATAAAAAAAAATGTCAGGACCTGCATGAACTCACCTTTCACTGCTCTGCTCTGCTGCCCCCTGCAGGAGTGCAGTACAACACCCAATGGCCCACCGCCCCCGAATGCTCCTGGTGGGCCGCCCAGACTCTGGTCAGACCTCCCACCTGGCCCCTGCGATCCTGCATGCTCTGGAGCGTTTCACTGTCCACAGCCTGGATGCTGCTGTGTTGTTTGGGCTCAGCAGCACCTCGCCTGAGGAAGCCTGTGCACAGGTTATTTTTACACTGCATGGATGCTTAGATAACTTCACAAAGTTTCATTTTACTCAAATTATAAAGCGGTTATTCTCAATTTAAAGCTTAATATATCTTAAAAGAAAACAATAGATTGTCATCTGCCTGATCTAATTAGAGTTTATTTAATCTAACATTTGTAGAATAGCTAAATTATATATAAACAAAATGGTGAAAGAATTTAATATCAAGTTCATTTTAAAGTTTGCAACTAAATGAATTAAATAGACAAAAATTAAGATGCTTTCTTTGACCTGGGGTCTTCTTAGCTTTGGTATACTGTATAAGTTTACTTTTTTATTGACCAAACAACACATCATAAAGAAACTGCAGGATACATTAAAATAAATAACAGAACAGTTTAGACAATGGTTTAAAGACACTACAAGAGGGTTGTAAGCAACATTATCTGGGTGGGCCCCATATGAAGTAAAACACCCCCGCTGCTGCCGTAGAAATGATCCTAAATGTGGCTCTTCATCATTCATCATTCTTCACCTTCACTAGACATGGATATACTTTAGTGTATTCCGCTGTAAAATGAGTCTTAATGGGCTACCTTGAGTTTCTCAGCTCCCCTCCTCACCCACGCTCTCTCCATTCATCTCGCAATCTTCACTCACTGTAGCAGCAACGTCCTCCTCTCCCTCTGTGGTTCTTTGAAAGGACATGTTTATTTTGGGAAGTTTTCTGCGTTCTTCCAGCAGCTCTTTGTTTTTCCTTTTCTGGAATCCTCTTAAGTACCTCATTTTGGTATCCATCGTTGCTAACACATTGTACGTAACGGTAATGGTTTTAATCTACGCTCTGGGTTACCCATAATTCCAAGTCGTATTGTAAAAAATAAAATACTCAAATACATCGTTCTTTTAAGATCTTTATTGCGGTTTGAAACACATTATATGAGTGTATTTTGTACCAACCGTCTAATGAACTATACACAGTTATTAACATAGTAATTAAAAGTATGATTGTCTGCTTTGCTATTGGTGTCATGTTTAAAAGCCATTATGTTGAAATCTGGAATGTGTTGGGGTATAAATACGGTCCGCTGCGGTCAGCTATATCAGGTGGGTTTAAGAGGAATTTTTCGCACCATTACATCTGCAAAGAGACGTCCTAGTCCAGAATTGCGTAGGGGGCCAACCAGGTATCAGTGACGGGGCCCCTAAGCAACTGCAGTCTCTGCTTACCGATAGTTACACCATTGCATTTAGATAAAGACTGAAACGAGGTTTCAGAGGAAATTTCTCCACTGTTCAGGTGTTCTACGAGGCCAAGCGGACGTCTCCCAGCATCCTCTACATCCCTCACATCCAGCAGTGGTGGGACACGGCAGGATCGGCACTCAGGGCCTCTTTCCTCAGCTTGCTAGGCAGCATCTCCCCATTCTCTCCTATCCTTCTCCTCGCCACCTGCAGCCTCCCCCACCAGCAGCTGGACCCAGAGGTGATGCTTCCTTCAACTTTTCTCTCTATTCACTGTTATAGAATGTCGTCTATTGTTTGAAAGCAGAAAGCGAAATCAAAAACACACATGTTGACTCTAAAAATTCTTTTTTTTTCTCATCAGATACAGTCTCTGTTTCGGGAGGAGTATGGGGAGATTTATACCATGACTGTTCCCACGCAGCAGGAGAGAACAGAGTTCTTTCGGGATCTCATTCTGAATCAGGCAGCAGAGCCTCCACCATCCAGGAATAAAGGTTTCTATCATGTTTTGATTCCTGGTGCTCTGCTCCACTATCAAGTATAAAGTTACCAGCTTTTTGAAAACTTAATTGCGCGTTTTGAAGCATTAAGCCTAATATTCCTGCTTATTTTTTATTAGTGACCCAGAAGGTGGAGATCCTTCCTGTGGCTCCCCTTCCTTATCAGAGACAGATGTCAGAGCAGGAGCGCCTCCGTCTGGAGGAGCAGGAGGAGGATGTGCTGAGGGAGCTCCGCCTCTTCCTCACGAACCTCACAGAGCGTCTGATGCTGGACCGCCGCTTCAAGGCCTTCACCAAACCTGTGGACATCGAGGAGGTAAACTGATTCTGTTTTATCAATTAGTCATTTTACTGTAAATCTTGTTGGCATAAACTGTGGAGCTGAAACAAGGTGAGCATTAGATGCATTTGGTACCTTTAGGGGCAGCAAAAATCCATAAACTCTCTCTATTTTACTAATATCCTTCATTCTTCAGGTGCCAGACTACCTCATGGTGGTCCAGAACCCCATGGACCTCTCCACTCTGCTGTCCAACATCGATGAACATAAATATGTCACCGTTAATGAGTTCTTGTCAGACGCAGACCTCATCTGGCAGAACGCTCTAGAGTACAACCCAAAGAGAGACCAAGCAGGTGGGACTAAATCAAGATGCTCTGCCTGCAATGGACTGATTTTTCTCATTGAATTTAAATACTTTTAGTATTTATACATTGCTAAGCAGGTAAAGATACATTTGAAAAAGGTTGAGTAGTAAATTAAAAGTATACAAAAATGTAGATTTATGTTGAATCAATAAACCACATGAAGCCTTATTAATGTCAGAATACGGTTTAATCAGACCCACAATAAATCAACCTCTTCTAAAGGAGGAATTCTTTACCAGTTGATAGCTATCACAAGTTAAAGTAGGAGGGACATTTCTTAGTAATTCTTTGATTTAATTAATGAAAAAATGAAACTTTATTTCAAAAAATAACTTTAAACACACACAAAAAAACGAAACAAAACAAAAAAAGAAAACAAATAGGTGTATACAGTAGATATGAGTTTGAAAGGCAGCAGGGAGAACTATACACTTATTTATCCCTACCCCATTATCACTATAATAGATGTGCTTATATGATGCTGTTAATCAGAATCAGAATCAGAAATACTTTAATAATCCCAGAGAGAAAAAACTTTTGTTGCACACTCCAGTTACAGTTTTATATATATAAATATATATACACACATCCAACTACACAAGATAATAAAGATAAAAAAAGAAAAAAGAGATAAAGTATATACACATATAGCTCTCTAATAAACAAAAATGAAATTTAGGATCCATTAAATTCTAAATAATAAAAAATATATATAGTAATTTAAGCAGAACTAAGCTTATAAACCATATAAAAACCATATAAACCTTCATGAATATCTACTGGAAGCCTATAAATCTGTTTTGTTTTAGTGTTGATTATTTAAATCTTTATCATTGGGTTTAAAAGCTTAACCCACGCTGAAGCTTGCAGTTTCAGAGACCTAAAGGAAAGTTTTAGGCTTGATTTTGATTATTCTTCCTAAACTCACTGAGAGGAAGGAATGCAGGGAAAATAGAGGAGTTTAAGTATCTAAACAGAAGCAAAAGGAGGCCAGCCCGACTGCAGGACTGACTGCAGAACTAATCCCACTGACTTTCTGCTTGGCTGATGGGACATCTTGGTACACACTAGCAGTGTTTGTCCTTTGGGTCAAACAAAATGTGTATATTTTCCAGTATTTGTACAGATATTCCAGTATAGCTGGAAAATCTAATCCTGAAAAATTAATTGTACTTAACAGTCAAACATAGTCCTGTTGATAAGCTGGTGAACCACCTGCTCACTTTGGTCAAACCTCCACTTCCTTTTTGGAAAGTTTTATTAGTCAGAGTACAGACCACAACTATCTCTCCTCTAAAGTCACATGATAGCTGAAGGGCCGAACAGATGACGACATTGGGAACAGATTCAGCTTTCAGACGGTGGCTCTCAGGTTCTGGAACTTCCTTCCATTTTATTTGCTCCTCCTGCTGCATTTAATAGTATTAGTATTTCATTTATATTTTTAGATGAATACAAGCATTAAATCAAACATTATTTTAAAAATGTGGATTCACTCAGTGACAATTATTGAAATTAGTTTAAATAAATTGGTTAAAAACTTTATTGGTTAAAAACTGAATCTAATCCGCTTGATTCCTGTTTTTACCGAACATGAATTCAACTCATGTGTATTTTAAGTTTAATGTGTAAATGCTTACATATGTCAGACCGTCACATTCGTCACCATGCATGCACCCTGAAGGACACAATGCGAACCATCATCAGAAAAGAACTGGACAAGGATTTCCAGAGAATCTGCGAGGAAATCCGAGAGTCCCGCATTGAAAGAGGTAAAAATTTACTCAGTGTTCAGCGTGGCCCAATTAAACCAGGTGTTCAGACTCTCAGCTTCGTTTTCTATTAAACTAAGTGAGATTTAAAGTAATAAAACGCCTGTATTAAAAGCCTTTTGAATAGAAATGTCCTGCAGCATTAGGGGTTTGTATTTATTTGTGTTAATATTCTGCTTATTTATAAACCTTCAAACTAAAAATTAAGACTTCTTTATGTGACAGCGTTATCCTACAGGCCCAGGGCCAATCTAGACTTGGCCAACAGCCTCTACAACCAGGTCTTCACCCGGAACAGCACTGGACCTCAGGGTGAGCTTTTTATTTATGTTTTTATTTTTTATGAATGTAACTTGAGACTAAAATGAAACTTTTAAAGTTATATGAACAAAATGGTTTAAGTTAAACACTCAAAAATAATATATTTCACCCAAATTTTAAGATTTATATAAATATATATATATATATATATATATTTATATATATTTAAATACCATTGACACAAACCTATTAAATAAATCTTAGAAGGTGCATATGCATTTGTTTAATATGGCTTATTTATTAAAAATAAATAACTTTCAGGTGTATTTAGAATTAATAAAGTATAGTTAATTAAAATGAATACTAATGAGTGTTTTTATTTCAAGTACATAAAGTTTATTGTCTGAATTGCCTAATAATCTGGTTACCTTTGTGCAAAGTCCATCATTAAACCCAAATATGGGGACTGATTAGTGGTCAGTTCTAAATCCATGTTTCTGATTTGACCTATATAGAAGAACTGTTAAATTACCATTTTTTTAATTGAAAAAGCTTCCTGGATGGGAAGCAAAACATCTTCAAACTTTGACACTAAGTCCAGTGGATTGTTTTTAAAAAACTTTTTGGAATACAATTTTTAAATTAGTGTTTTCTTTTCTTTTCTTTTTTTGAATAGTCATATTTAAGAGATATGTTTGTTTAATAAATCACTGCAGAAAAGAGGATGTGAGGGCAAAGCTTCAAGGACAGAGAGCTGCAGAGTCTTTAATTGAACATAAAAGCATTAGTCTCAGAGCAGGTGAGAGGAAAAGGGAACATCAACCGAGCTGACCAAAGGAGGAAGAGTGAATGAGGGATTCTGCAGCTGAAGGGAACAGTCCCAAACAGAAAGGAAGATCAATTGAACAGTAATGAGGATTCAGTTCTACTCCACCTCTTTTCTTCTTGTTGTAATGACCCTTCCTTTCCTCTCCCTCCCCTCAATCCCAACCCTCTTCTTTATTATTTCTGCAGCGCGTAAGAAAAAGTGTTTCAAATCGACACGAAAATCCAAGTGGAGCACTGGTGTGCTTAAGAAACGGCAGCCGAAGAAGACAGCTTCCACCTCCTCCTCCTCAATGTCCAGCGTAACCAGTTCAGATTCCAATGGAATCAGAGGAGGGAGTGTTTCTGCTGACCAAAGCTCTTCTAGTTTGTCAGACAGCAGCGATGAAGACAGGAACACCTTCCTTACTATTAACCGGAACCATCATGCATTCAAATCGCTCCAAAAAAGGCTCCAGCAAGTATACAATCCGTCCAGCAATACTCCCAAAATTAGCCCGGACCACAGGCAGCAAAACAAGCCTTCAAAGTCCGACCCGGCCCGGAGGAAGGCGCTGACCGAGTTTTATTTAAAGAAATTGGGTGTGTTTGTGTAACATAGATTTGGAGTGAAAGCTGGCTGCTCTACTAACTGCCCTTCAGTCGACTGTGACTGAGCTTCAAAGCCCTGCAGCGTGTAAAGCAGGTAGTGAAATCACTGCCTGTGCTTCTGCTTCGCTGCTGCTGCTGAGCAAGATCTAAAGTGCAAAGTTTTCACAGTCAGGCAGACGTCTGGGCAGAGAGCCAAACTGGCACAAAGCTGAGCTGAGAACAGATGCTCTCTGATATTCTGTCACACAGACGTTCTCTGCAAATTACTTAAAAGAGGAGCTTCCTTTGATTGATTATTTTAGCTTGAAATGCAAGTGCCTGTCTGAACCATGCACAGCTTGTTTTCTTTAATTTGACTGATGCCCCTAATAGACCTTTTAGATGCAAAAAAAAAGACGCTTGATTGACAAAAAAGATTTACTCCTTAAATAAAGATTGAGGTTAATGTTTTATTACCTTTGGTTTTAGAGTTATAAACTGTAGGTCATGTGTTGTTTGTTTGCTGCATTGTCTGCGCTCCCAAAAAGTGATTAATCTATCTATTTAATTACAAGAACAATCATTTTCTTTCTTCCCCAGAGAGGCAGAGGAAGAGCGAGATGAGAGCAAACAAGGCCGTCTTCGAGCAAATGCAGCAGTTCAACAAGGATAGATCTGCAGAGATGGTGAAAGAGCAAGCCCCCCCGCTGGTAGTGGATCATAAAAAGCTGAAAGTAAGTAACTCAGGTTAGGCTGTTTTTGTCCATATTTGGGCCGTTTTTAAGATTACTACTGCTAGCTACTAAAACATGGTAGAATTATTTTATTTTGTTGACAGGGTTCTAACACTTGTGTAATGAAGTAACCACAAGATGTTACAGCTTTGTAAATATTTTCAAGAAGTTTTTAACATTTCATCAAAAATGTCAAATAGTTTTAGTGTTTTTTTGTTTTTTTTTAGATGTAGTCTTTTTTTTTTATTGTCCCTTAGCAGGTAAGTTTGTTAACCAGTTTAGGGCAACTGACTATAGTCATTACTATAGTAACCATCAATATGAAGTGCAGAGTAAATAAAGTTTGTGCATAGTCTTGAAGTGAAAGATTTTATTTTTTTTTCCACATTTAGAGACTTTTTTTTTTATTTCATCCGCCCATCGTTGGACGAGGTCTGAATGACTTCAAACAGCTAATCTTTTAAAAACAAGAAACAAATCCGGGTTTTGTTCTTCCTGAACTAAAAATATGTCGGAGCTAATTTTTACAACTGATTGTTCAAATTATAGACATTAATATGTAGCTGCCCCATTGGACGTTTCTGACGGCTTGGTATACCTGCTTCTAGGGCGGCCATATTGGGTCAGACCATAGTTCAGACAGATGCTGTCAGAATGAATAGGAGGCACCTCAGATGTAATTTTAATCACATGGAAGTCAAAGACAATATCACAATAAGTTCTTACCTTTCACAACCATTTGAAAGTCCAAAACAAATATTACGATTACCTTTCAGAAAGATCATACATATTTACTCTGAATCAAAACTATTGAAACCAAAGTCAAACTGGATAAAAATTATATATATATATGGATAATCTGTCATAAAATCCCACATATAAAAGGTAATTGTACTGGGTCTGCTTTGTAGTCTTCTTTCATTTTTGCACCCATAGGTTGAATAAAAGTCGGGCCTCCTGAGAGGAAGCTCTGGAATTTGCTAACTGTCAATATAAAATCGAATGTATGCATCATGGTAGAAAAAAATTTATATTAATCAGCTGGTATCATATTGACCCTTTAACATTTTCATTCAGCTGAGAGTTCACCAGATTCACTGTCTGAATTAATTAAGTAATGTTTGCCCCAATTGACGTGTATTCTTCCTGACGCAGCTTGGTCTGAACCAAGATGGCCGCTCTGTCGGCAGGTGCGCCTATTTTAACAATTACGCGGAGGTTTATCGATGTCTCTGGTATAAACATCTATTTCCTGAGTCTTAAATTTAAATAAAAACATAATTCTCTACCTTTTTCTCTCAGATTGATAATGAGGGTTCTGTTGAGAAACTATCAATAAGAATATCTGCACACATTCAACCAATTTAATTCAGGCTATGAAAATGCTTCAAATCCATTTTTAGTTAAATTTATGCATTTTTTCAACTTAATTCTGGGACCATGTTGTTAGCCTGTATTTCACCAGCATCGGTTAATAAAGGGATATATAATTGAAGGTCATATTGATCTCTGGTTATTAAATGTACTAATTTGATTATACATTTAAAAACGACTGGGTGAATTTAAACCTTTTCATATTGTGAATTGAAGCTATATGAATAAAATAAAGTACTTTGGTTGTAACTATTGTTCAAAGTAATTCTTGTTTTTTCTTTTCCAGGATCTGCTGAGCAGAGCTGTAGCTAAAACAGAGGGCACTGAGGTGGAGCCTCTGGAGAAGCTTTATGCCCTGTTGGCTCAGTGCATCTACAGACACAGAAACAACTATGACAAGACGGAGCTCATTAAGGTACAACGACACCGTACTTTTTAGAGAGTTTGGACATTGTTAAATGTTACAACAGTTTTCTTTTAGCCTGTATTTTACTTTATTACAGTCATGCTTCTATAACCTTCAATATACTTCCTTTATAAAGTATTTTTATTTCATGTAAAGAAAAACAAAAGGCATCATGTAGAGAAGGAGTTGATTTTACGTAATTTATTTGTTTGTTTTCTCTAGGAAATGAAGAAAGAGATCGACAACTTCTCCTGAGCAGTGATAACAAAAACTGAGTCACTTTAAATGAAAAGTATTTTCTTTGTTTATTCTATTTATTAAGATATATTTATAAAATTAGAAAAAAAAATCTAAATACCTCAGTATTTTAAGTGTTGCATAAGATCATATTAACATTTATTCCTTCAATATTTTTGAAAATAAAAAAAAAACCTAATAACAACAAGGTTAACTAAAAAGTTTACCATGATGTGCACTTTATAAAAGTGTAGGTCTGGGTAAATTAAAAACAATGTGTGTTTTGGGTTACTAAAATGTCATTGTTTAGTGTTGGTTTTCTGTGTTGCTCAATTTGTGTTTTGTTTTTTTTTGTTCTTGAAAACAAAATTTTTCATGCTTTCTGTCTGCAGGAGTTAGAAATTCAGGATTTATTTGAATAAATAGTTGTGAAATTGTTATATTCAAGTTTGTGTGTTGTTCTTATTTCTAGTTGTTTTTAATTATTTTGTAATTTTTTAATACTTCCTATGAGATATTTGAATTTGTAGGACATTGTTTTTGTTATTATAATTAATAATTCAGTTGTTAGTACATTTTGTATTTTATATAATGTTTTAACTTTTATATGACCAAACTGAAAACAGTTACCACTGATCCCTATTTAGTCACCGGATTGCCGATAGGCCGAAAAATTTGAATTAACCTGCAGCCATCTTGGTAGCCTTGCAGAGTTGCGCCTTAAAAACAAGCAGTTTTCAACTTCCCAAATCATATTCAGAACGTCTATGTCATGCTACAATGTAGGATTCAGAAAAAGATGTTGAAATGTCTGAAAGGTCGGACATAGGCGAGAGTGTATCTGAAGATGGAGACGGAGACCAACACCTCCCTCATCCTTGGCCCAATCTCAAAGAATTCTTCTAAATAGTTGAACAATTGAGCTTTCAATTCATATAGAGGCATCTGGTTGTTTTTGTTTTAAACTGCAGTATCTATACTTCTACTTAAGTAACAAATGTGTGTACTTTGGACACCACTGCAGAATCCTAAAAAGGAAGTTAAATGTGGCCTTGGATACCATAGCATCATCCAAGAAAAAACTAAAGTACACACAGTAGAAATCAGGGCGGCTGAAGAAGGAATTTGATTCACTGAAAAATTTTGTTGATGAACTGAAGAAGAAATTATTAACTATAATATTATATTTAATAACTATTAATTCAGACAAATGTGTTGAACCAGTGAATAGCGATCAGTGGATGCTACATGCACGTCTCTATCTGACGTAAAGACGCAGATGAACCTTCTGACCCGACGCGGAAAAATATAACAAATTTGACCTCATTACGTCAAGTTTGTACTTCCGCCTATTTTGACCACTTTCAAAATAAGAGTCTAGGGCTCTATGCACTCGGCTTTAGTCTTCAAGTAACTCCTTGTTGTCTTTAAATTGCAAACTTGGTGTTAAAGATAAATAATTTACATTTCTTTAAGGTAAGGTTTGAAAAACTTCAATCCTCTTGGTTGATGTGTTTCGAAGAACAAAAGACATTAATTTACATTTTCAAGTAGGAATCTCCACTTTCTTACAAAAAAAAGAGAGAAAATAACAGTTATATACAGGAGATCAACTTAACTTGTGCAAGGCAACAGAAATAAATAAATTAATGAATAAAAAAGCAGTAATATTACAACCAATGGAAACATACAAAACTTAAAAAAAGAATTCAATTAAATAAAAGACAGAATCGTTCTGCAACAAGACAGTTTCTTGCATCATGTTAACTTTAGCAATTTTTGTGAGTAAAAAAACCCCCAGAAATTTTGGCATGTCACTACATAGTTTTTGTCGGCTAACAGAGATAAAGATAAATAGAAGATTTTGACCTCGTTTTTTAAACTTATTAATGAAGGTTTTCTATTTTTTCCATTTAAATACATGTTTATATCTTCCCATACCTAAATCAATCGGAATGTCATGTAACTGACTGTTATATGCCATTTATAATTACCTTTGTACGACTTTTATTCTGAAGTCCTAAAACCGGATGCTCATATCAGCACTAGCTAGCTTCCAGCAGCGGTACTAAAAAAATTGGTCGGATTTGTTAACTAGCGGTGCCTTTTTTATGAAAATGTCCTCCCCATAAGCAAGACAACAGAGTACACAATGTGTGCTGAAGCAGAGGCAGCGAAACACGAAGCTAGCAGGCGACGGTGAGCGAAAGGCCGGCTGTTAGAGCGGCTCCGTGACGGGCTGAAGCAGATGTGATCCACGGTGAATTTGGGTAAAAGGCGGAAGACTGCGTATCAACAGGGCGATGCTACACAGCTACAGCCGCTAGTCAGCTAACTGGCTGTTCCAACATGCAGGTAAGCGGAAACCGACGCAGCAGGTAAACAAAAGCTGCTGACAGGCGAGTTTTAGGTGAGGCTGCGTGGGTCTGTCGCCCACTGTCACTCATGTGGAGTGGGCTCATTGTCACAGAAAGGGGAGTAGCTAACGTTAGCAAAGGAGGATGTTGTTCCTGTGGGTGTTTATCAGAAGCAAAGCTAGCTGAGGAGACATTGGAGCTGAGGGTCTGTTACCATGACTGCATGTTCTTCATGCTCCAGGAACAGGAAGCTGGTTTAACTAATCATTCTGTAAATATGGTTTTCAAACTAAAAATATACTGTCCAATAATTTTATATCATATACACTGTTTCCAAAGAAAACAATGTTGCTGACACCATAAAAGTCAGACAGGATGCTGTTAAAGCAGGTTTGGTTTCTAATTTCTTTAAAAAATATTTAAAACAGTTATTAAAACACTTTTTACATCCTGATCACTGCTGCACTGGTAATCTTCATTTCACTGCTGTAAGCTGCTCATTCACTGATGAAAAGCTGAATGCATCGAAATTTTGTTTTGTATGAACTCTTTGTATACAATAAAGTTAGTCTATATCTAAGAATTGACTGAAATTGGGTCAAAAATTCAGTTTATTTATATAGTTCCAATTCACAACACATGTCATATTAAGGCACTTTACAATTAAACCAGATCTTATCGTCAAATTGATTCAACGTATTCTATCTAAGGAAAACCAGTTGATCAACAATCTAAGGAAATCCCTCATACTAAGCATCCTTGAAGCGACAGTGGAGAGGAAAACTCCCTTTTAACAGGAAGAAACCTCTAGCAGAACCAGGCCCAGTGTGGACGGCCATCTTCCAAGGCCGACAGGGGTTCAAGGAGACAGAAGCAGAGATACGAAAGGCAACTGTTAACCAGCTCCACAGACGGCCCCATCCAGGAAAAACACACTGCCAAGCAGACGATCTCAAACATCTATAAACAAAGGTGTTGATGGCAGCAGCAGAGCTGATATTTCTCTCCAGGATGGAGCTACAACCAAACCAGAATAGACCAGATGAAGCTACTATGAGAAAAAGCAGAGAAAGCGTAACGTTAGAGATAGAACTAACACATTCTGCAGAGTGGGAGAATACAGCTAGAATGTAGCAGAATGATGAAAAAGGGGTCCCTATGTCGTCCTGCAGTCTAAGCCTATAGCAGCATGGCTATAGAGAAAGGTCAGGATAACCTGAGCCACTCTAACTATAAGCTTTATCAAAAAGGAAAGTTTTAAGCCTAGCCTTAAAAGTAGACAGGGTGTTTGCCTCGTGGACTAAAACTGGTAGTTGGTTCCACAGGAGAGGAGCCTGATAACTAAAAGATCTGCCTCCCATTCTACTTTTAGAAATTCTAGGAACCACTAGTAAACCTGCAGATTGAGAGCGAAGTGCTCTGTTAGGAACATAAGGAACAATCAGATCTCTGATATAAGATGGAGCTTGGCCATTTAAGGCTTTATATGTGAGAAGTGAGATAGATGCCCCAAAAAGTGCTTTTATCAATGGTCCAAGTTCTGGCTGGACTAGCGTATTCAATGTTTACCAGTACAAATACTGAACGAAATCTTCTCCTCCCTGCATTTAGAGCCTATGAACACGTCAATGAACAACATAAATAATAAGCGCACTTTTTAATTTAAATTAAACTTAAATAAAAGTTAGAAGCCTGTGATTTGATGATTGCCTAAATTCCTGTGCAAAACCATTTTATGCATAAGCTGTGCCATTACATTATTTGATGATGTTCTAAAAGAGCAGTATAAAAATATGTGGATTCATAATTACATTATAACCACAACTTATAGCAAGGTAATATTTGAAACTCTTTGGATGTACAATTAATTAATAGGTCATCGTAAAGTGTCTACTTTCACTGAGTAGTTATTAGGAGCTTTGACTCTTTCAAAAGAAACGTACTTCCTTCTGAAACTTGGAGAGACTCTGCCTCGGTTGCAAAATACATCATCCCAATACGTTACAGAGGAAATGGGATGTTTAAAATTTTTACTTTTTTTTTTGTTTGTTTATTACTGAATTTTAGTTCAAGGGTTTTGGTGAGTTTTCTTTTGTTTCACCTTACAGTAAAAAAAAAAAATAATATATTGTCGTAGAACTGCAGAATATATAATATTTGTAATGTTTTTTGCTTAATATTGGTGAGGAGGATATAAATAATGATTAATCAATGTTTTTGGGATGTTTTTTTCACTACACCGTTTATACTCGTATTATATAATTTAAAAATAAGCTGATTTGGAGCTTGTGACCTACAAACTCGGATTTCTGCACAAGAAACCAACTCAGGATTGCATGTTCCAAAATGCAATCTCAAAAGTGTAACATTATTTTTTTTAACAAAAAAAATTATTTGTTAATTTTTTTTAATTCTTGCTATTCAAACTACCACATTTCCAACATGTAATGTTCTATTTCTTCTCAGGAATCAAAATCCACGGACAAATTCCAACTTCCAGCATCCGTATTTATGGAACCATAACAGGACGGCTGACGCTTTCTTCAGTACTCTGCTAAGCTGAACAAAACCGAGGATGTCGAGCAGGAGAAAATCGACCACACCCTGTATGGTTCCTACTCAGGAAGCCCTAGACTCGGATCAGGAGGTGGAGGATGTTATGGACATCACAGACCCGGAGGATAGCAACGAAGGGGCTGCGCTTTATTCTGAGGTTCCTTCTTTGTCGGAGGATCCAGCTGAGGATGCCGACGTCAGGCCGGACGCGGTGCCGGACCCATACCTGGACTTGAACACGGCTGAAGGGGGATACGAGTGCAAGTACTGCAGCTTCCAGACTTCAGAGCTTAACCTGTTTACCATGCATGTGGACACGGAGCACCCTGATGTCGTCCTTAACGCCTCCTACGTCTGCGTGGAATGTGACTACCACACCAAAAGGTAGGATGTTCACACTGGGTCGTCACATGATGCGTTTCAGATAATTTGGAAATCAGTTTCCACCGTTTGTGCTTCTTTACTAATATTAGAATTTCTATTCATTTTGGTGAGATGGTTTATGATATACCAACGCAAAGTAGTGTGTGATTGTAAAGTCAAAGAAAAAATAAACTTAACATCAGGCACACGACTGTTATATGTCGTACATGAAATATTTCCAGGGTTGTTATACGGCTGAGAAGTCTGGAGCACTGTGGATTTTTCTTGTATGAACTTCTAGGGCCCAAAAAGAGAAAATTGAGTAGGGAAAACAATCTTCCTTCCAGTATAGGAAAAAATATCTTAAGAAAACTGAAAGCAGTTTTTTTTTTTTTTTCATCCGCCTTATCTTTTGTTTAACAAATCTCCTTAATTTGAACATTTATCCACCAGTACCTGGTTCCTCCTTAACCGACTGAAATGCAGTTAATCAAATATCACAGACAGGCACAATTACTACTTCAGATTATTTAGACTTAGCTTTAAATTCACATTAAGCTGGGCCTAGGTTATTTAACTGGGTCTAAAATGCCAAATTAGGTAAAGAAATTGCCTTTTTTTATTTTTTAGGATGTTTTACAAATAAGATAAATGTACCATAGTTATTCAACCGTGCAATAGGTCCAGGCCTGACTCCGAAAATAGAGATTTTGAACCCAGCTCCTCCATGTTGGTCCAGATGCTTGTATGCCTCACATCAAATATCATAAAGACATTTTAGCATTGCTTTGATTATTATTTGTGGAACATTTATATAAGAGAAGGTGCTAAAGCATGCAGAAAAAAGACATTCTGGAAAGTTTTAAAATTGGAAAAAAAGGAGAAAAATGTGAAGCAGTCGTCTACTTTGTAAAAGGAGCTCTGGAGCACACATCTGGAGACAGACGTTTTAGAAACGCAGCAGAGCTCAGTCAGTTTCTCATTAAATAGGGGTTGACAAAAATATCGATACTTTAAAAGCACTGTTACTCAAAACACTGAAATTCACATACAAATCTAATGGTGACAGGTGTTGTTTGCTAATTTTTGCTACTGTTTACTTTAGATTTCTGGATTATTTGCCAGGGCTGAAACTATTATTCGGATTAATTGTGATTAATCAATTATTTAAATTACCATCAACTAATTTAGTAATCGATTAACCGTTAACTGGAGTGTAGAGACTCTAAAACGTGCCTTTAGCTGACAGAGCAAACCACTTAGAGCAAAAATTATACGGAAATTGTAAAAAAAAAAAAAAATATATATATATATATATAGATTTACACTTAAGATACATTTTACACTTAAGATAAAAGAAAAACTTTTTATTCTGTCAATGTGCTTTATTCAGAACTCAAGTGGAAAAGTTTCACCTGGTTTAAATCTGTAAAAAAAATCTTCTTTAACAAACCTTTGCTGTCAGATTACTAATTGAAAAATGATCAATAGATTAATCGATGTTCCAAATAATGAAAAATAATTCAAATAATAGTAAATTGTTGCTGCCCTATTATTTGTACATTCAAATAATAATGCTTTGACCTTAAAATATTGCCAGATTTTGTTATATTTGGAAAATTTTTCATTTATTTGAGGACTTAAGCAGCACCAGTGGTTCTATTGTGAAACAATGCTCCATGTTGAAAGGGGTGTAAATCACACCCATCATGGCGATTCGATTCAATATCGATTTCCTGACCCAACGATTTGATTATTTCCGATACTCAAGAATACACCACAATACGATTCGATTCGATTAATTGTTTTTTTTTTGTTTTTTAACACCTTACAGGCTAGACATTGTTTCAAATTTGAAATAAATCAATGAAAGCTGTAATATCGTTATGCACTTTATTTGAGAAACAACAGCAAATGACAGAAGTAGAAAAGTTGCACTCCACCTATTCCTATTAAAACCTCATTCACTGAAAAATAATAATACCCCTGCGTTATAGATTCTGAAAGGCCTTGCATTAAAAAATACTGCACAAAATCAGTGCAATGCAATACCTCGGCTCCAGACGTGCCCGCCCCCTCCACGCTCCGCTGCACCTCTCCCAAATTGTAGCTTACCGCAAACAGTGCCGCAGACAGGAGGCCGGCTTGTTTTGTTCTCATGACCGAAATTGCAGAAAACAACTCCCAGCACGGGAGGGAGAATTACGTCCAGTAGCAAATGGATAAAAATAGACCTGAGGAAAAAAGAAAAACATGATTCGATACTCTTGCTGACGTATCAATGCATCGGATCGTCGGCTGTTGGATCAATGCATCAATACAAAACGATTATTATTTACACCCCTACATGTTGAGATTAGGAACGAGGACTTTTTCATTTTATTATTTCTGTAATTAGTTAATTAAATTATTATTATTATTTTTTTCATCCCCATGGTAACAAATATCTTCTTAAAATCGAGTTTGAAATTTAATTATCATAAAAAGTCTAGTCACTGCACAGCATCTTTGTCTTTTTTCCAAACGGTTCCAGAAAACTATTGGCTTTCTTGTTGCTATCACTTTTAAGGACTGTTTATCTTATAGTTTTTTAAATCCTCTGATTATACTTTAACATCCCGCCTGCACCATTCAGAGCCTCTGTTTGACTCCCAGACTTTCAGGGGACAGCCATCAGTTAGCTGGTGTTCAGTGGTGCCAAATCATGTTCGAAGTTATTATTTTTTTAACGTAATAAATAAATAAAATAAAATCTTTTTCTGCTTTAAACTTCTTCTGTTGATTGACTCCACAGAATTATTGGAGCTCTAATTTCTCATAGATTGACTGCCTTTACCAGTTGGTTTTGCTTTAAGCTTTATTAGTAAAAGAAACTAAACATTAATGTTCAATAAACCTAAAGGATTTTTATTTGGAAAGGTCGTTGAGTATCATTTTCCTTTCCTTTTGCTATGATGCACTGGTTTTATAAGGGTTTATCACATGAAATCCCAATAAAACATTGTCCTTTTTAATGAAAAATATGCTATCTATAATAATATACTGTTTATACTAATGGTAAACATGCAACGGTTTAATGTTGTTTCTCTGTTTTGTACCAATCCTTCTCTGGGTTTAGTTACGACACGCTTCAGGCCCACAACGCTCGGCTACATCCAGGAGAGGACAACTTCACGAGGACAATGGTGAAACGAAACAACGAGACCATCTTCCAGCAGACGGTGAACGATCTCACCTTCGACGGCAGCTTCGTCAAAGTGGAGGAAGACGAGGCGGAGGTAACGTCCCGCAAAGCCATCCCGCTCAGCAAAACTCCCATCATGAGGATCAAGAGCCGGCCTGAACCTAAAAAGTTTGCTGCAGCCCAAAAACTGCCAATGGACGTCATCAAGGTGGAGAGCGACGACGAGTACGATGAGAACCAGGAGCCGCCCACTCTGTCGCCTGCTCCCACAGCCCTTGCTGCTTCCACGCCGCGCCTCATCCCCGTCTCCACGCCGCTGCAGGTCCAGGCCGTCCCTCAAGGCATCATGGTGAACAGCTCCAACATGCTGCAGATTAAAGGTGGCTCCTCTGGTGGCTCAGTCCTGCCCCCGGGGACTCTGGCCCAGGTTCTTTCCGCCCTGCAGACCCAACAGAGCCCTCAGACCCAGCTGCTAATCCCCATCAGCAGCATCCCTACCTACAACAGTGCCATGGACAACAACGTCCTGCTCGTCAGCGCTTACAACAGGTAAATTCACCTAATAATAATAATAATTATATTATTATTATTATTTTTATTATTATTAAATTCACCTGATGTTCTTTTAAGCTCAGCCCTGAAAATGAATGCAACTTTATTTATACAACATATTTCCTGCACAAGGCAACTGTGTGTCTCACAGCAACATCAACCATACAAACACAATAAAACAAATTCAATCAGTACAACTATATAAAATATACATATTATATTTTAAAAATAGGTAAAAAATAATTAATCGCCATAGGCAACACTCAATAGGCATATTTTTAACCTGGACTTAAACAGCCAGGACTGAGTCTTGTTTTACGTCCTCATCGAGGCTGTTCCAGACATTGGTTGCATGGAACTGAAATGCAGCCTCACCATGTTTAGTGATGACTCTAGGGACCACCAGGAGACCCCTCCTTATGGATCTCAAAGCCCGAGGTGGTTCATATGGCTCTAACGTGTTAGAGATGTACTTTGGTGTTAAACCATGTGAAGACTTGTACACAAGTAGAGCTTTTTTAAAGTCTATACTCTGATCCACTGGAAGCCAGTGCAGAAACCAGAGCACTAATATGGTCGTATTTCCTGGTTCTGGTGAGGACTCCACCTGCAGCATTTTGGACAAACTGCTGTTGTCTAACAGCTCGTTTGGAAAGACCAGTGAAGAGGCCGTTACAATAGTCTAATCTGCTGGAAACAAATGCTTGGATTAATCTCTCCAAGTCTGGTGTATGTTTTTTATTTCAGTTATGTTTTTTTAAATGGTAATAGGCTGCTTAATATGACTGTTGAAATTCAGGTCTGAATCCATGATTAGGCCGAGATGTCTAACTTGATCTATTGACTCTAATAAAAGTCTTAAGATGACCAATGATAACTTCTCAATGTTTTTGTGGGCCAAAGACAATTATCTCAGTTGTATCCGTATTTAACAGAAAGAAATTATTTTGCATCCACACGCTGATTTGTTAACATGGCACAGAGTATCTGCAGGTCCAAATAAACCAAATAACTGTTGCTATGAATATAAGCAATTAATCACTTTTTCTGATTTATTAATTTAACATTAAGAAGGAAAAACATCAGACCTTCAACCATATCCTTAACCATAACCATATCCTTCTGTATCAGAGATCATTGGCCTGTCAGCGCAGACAAAGTTCAGTAAGGAGCAGATCAAGGTCTGGTTTTCAGCCCAGGGGCTCAGACCTTCAACGTCTTTCTGACCGTAGTGGACTGTGTAACAGGAAACCAAGACACACAGGACTAAAATAGAATCCTAGGAAGAATATCTGACAAACAGTGGACTGGACATTTGCTTATAATGATCACCTCTTAAACCTGTTAATACTCTCTTTTGTTTCTATTTTATTTTACAATAGGAATTCTCAATCCGAGTAAACCAATAAGTTTAACTGATTAATTTGAATTTATTACTAAACATTTAATGAGTTTTCAAAGCTGTTGTTGTCCACTGCATCAGACCTACTCCAAGCATCAGTTTAACACTGTTTATTGTGGCAAACTGAACATCAGCTTCTTGGCCAAACCCTGACTGATGGTGACCCACATCTGCATTATCTCTGCTTTGAGGTAGACACATTTATTCACCTTCTCCCTTTCTTTTTATCCTCTCCAGGCAGATGTTGCAGATTTGCAACAGCTAAATGCTGCTTAGCTAATTACTCTACATCCATATGTTAAGAGCTTTTGTTACTCAGAAGTACAACAAAGGGCTTAGTTGTGCATTTGCAACAAACAGTTTCTCTCCAGCTCACCATATAGCACTGCTGACTCACTTTCAACATGGCTGAGTCCTTGGTGTCACTGAAACTGATTTTCTAAGCGCCAATTTCATATAAGTATCACTACCAATGTACATTATTTTGAAATTAATACTACATAAGATGAATCATGAATGTGTATAGATATGACGCATGCCAATTAGTAGATTTTGTTTCCTCTGGGTTTTTCACCAGAGGCATCTCGATTTCAATGTTGTGGATTCGCAACATGTGGACAAATATGTACCAATGGATGCTACATGCTTTATCTACTAGTTTGCCTATAGTTTGAGCAACAGTTTAACTGAAACGGTCTTCTTTTTTTTGTTTTGTTAACTTTTTGTTTGTGACATTCAAATAAAGTTAACTTTCATATCAGATTCAGTCTTCAGTGTTAATTTACCACTCCGGGCCACTGTTGCAAATCTACAACATCCCAGAATTCATTGCATGTGAAGGTCTGTCTCAAAAAAAAAAAGTGTGAATTGTATATTACTACCCCATATGATCCTTTTCTCCAAATATCAGATTTTTCCTGCAAGTACAACTTAATTTGAGCCTGAGAGGGTTAAGCATCAGCTACTGTGGGAGTGGGTTTTGAACTCACAACCTCAGGATTCCAAGCCCTATGCCCCAACCACTAGCCCGCCACTCCTACAGAGCGAAGGCAAGAGTTACAGTTAGTTTTTTGGTTTTTTTTCTCCCTTTGTTGCAGGTTTCCGTATCCTTCTGTATCAGAGATCATTGGCCTGTCAGCGCAGACAAAGTTCAGTGAGGAGCAGATCAAGGTCTGGTTTTCAGCCCAGAGGCTCAAACATGGAGTCAGCTGGACACCAGAGGAGGTTGGTGCTCTAAACAAACACTCTTATCTCAAGCTGAAGATTTACATTTAGATCCTGGTGTTTTGCTCAAACACTCTGATTTAGTGAACTTCTTGCTCTGTGTAGCCAGAGGTAGGATTCCAGCCCCAGTTCTTTTTTTTATATGGTGCTTCTTTTTATCACCAATTATCTTATCTGCTTCTATTTGCTGTGATTTGTTGTGCTCAGTCGGCAGTTTTGTCCGACAATAAATTTGTTGTACAGTTAACTGTGGGACCCGTGATTGTTTTCATTTGGATGTGAGGTTTATGAGTCTGTAAAAAGTATTTAATCACCAATCAAAGTTTTAGTCCTCTTAATTGATTAGTTGATGTAAAAAGCTACATACTTTATTCAACATCAGGCAGTAAATCTTTAACCTTTTTCTTAAACTTTTATCTTTGTGCATACATTTTTCAAGCAGTCAACATTCTTTCAAATTCACCTGTTATACTTTAGTTTTTTTATGAACTGCTTTTAATTGAACTTATTGGAAAGAGATCAATAAAACCCAAAGGTTGAAGTGTCACTGGCTCCTCCTTTACATAGTCCAAGTTACATTATCTGAAATTTAACAAATGTTTGTGATTAATGTTTTTCGACATGCTAAAAGCCTTGTAGATCCTTCCATTGTCTTCAGAAACACCCGTTAGAGGCAGCAGAAGACGTGACACCAGGTACACCGGGGACAAAGTTTAACTTACAAAAGGAAAACAGTGAAGAGATTCAGAGCTTAGTGGAATGGTGATCAAAGCATAGTTTTGAATGTCTCTGGAAGAGTTCAAACTTGGACTTAAAGATTCCTGTTCAGATACCCTCCATCCATCCAGCCAAACAGACAGAACTGTTTTGCTTAAGAGAATGGAGAAAAATGCCTGGAACGTGTGTCTGCTGCTCTGGAAATGAAAAGCCTGTCCTGTGAACCAAGTCCCTCCCTCTATGCAGACTTTTTTTCCCCAGTGCTTGACGCCCTAACGGTGCAGCTGTTTTTACTGCATGATGCAGTCCAGCTGTTTAAATTTGTTTTCAGCAGTGCAGTGTGAATATGGACCAAAGCCTAATGGAAGTGGGCCCTCCCAGTCTCTCCTGGGGATAAACACCCTTGTTTTGTAGTTTTGCAAAGCTGGTAGAGATGCCATAGCCTACTGGTGCATTTATACCTAAAAAAAAATTTCAAGTCAGCTTTACTATTATGCATCCGAAGGGTTTAATTCTAACAACTATTAGTGGATCATATCTCAGTCTGCTGCTGGATCAGCCTCTATATCGTAAACATTGGTAAATTCAATGTACTTTATTTATAAAGTGCCAATTCACAACATGTCTCCTCTGGGCTTTTTCAGAAACGATTTAATCACATCATGGTGTCAGATTGTTTCAAAGTTTTCTGTGTAAGAAAAAACAGCTGATTGCATCCAGTCATTGACTTGCAGGACATGCTCCTCCTGGATGAGCATGTGGCAGCAGTAGATATTAAGTAGCATTGTGTTTTTGACTCTAGAAGCGATCCCTCACAGTAAGCATGAATGCGGCGATAGTGGAGAGGTAAAACTCTGTTTTAACAGCAAGAAACCTCCTACAGAACAGGCTCCTGGTGAGCGGCTTTCTGCTGAGGCCAACTTGGGGTTTAAGAAGGCATGTAGAACGAACATAGAAGCACTGATTTATAGATATTTTCACTGTTAGAAAAGATGAAGGTAAACAAGCTTCACAGGTGGCTGTGTCTGGGAAAGAAACTGTTAATCAGGCGAGCTCTGAGCCAGTTTTAATTCCAAAAGGAATGAAAGAGAGCACATACAGTTAGTCATGGTAAAAGCAGAGAGAAACGGGACTCCAACAGGGCCAACTCCATCATCTATGATCAAAGATGTTGATTGCAGCCCAGCTGATATTTCTCTCTGGGATGGTTTCATCGCCAAACAGGAACAGACCAGATGAAGCTACTATGGTGAGAAAAAAACAGAGCGAGCATAACGTTAAAGGTTAAACTAACAAATACTGCAAAACTGGAGAACAGAAATAGAATGAAGCAGAGAGAGGAACATTGGTTCCTATGTTTTCCAGCACTCTAAGTTTATAGCAGCATATGTATAGAAATGGCTCAGAATATCCTGAGCCACTCTACCTATAAACTTTAGCAAAAATGAAACACATGTAGAACTGCAGATTGAGAGCAAAGTGCTTTTTTAGGGACATAAGGAATCATATCTCTGATATAAGATGGAGCTTAACCCTTTTAAAGCTTTATATGTGAGAAGGGAGAGAAACTAGGATAGGAGGGATATGATCTCTCTTTTAGTTTTCATTAGAACTTAATCATGAGAACAAAGCTTTCATACTGAAAAGTAAGGTATAACCCCTGTTGTATGGAGGACTAAAAGGGTTAAATAAATAATTGAAAAGCCTTCATCTACTCCTCTGTTTGCAGGTGGAGGAAGCAAGGAGGAAGAAGTTTAACGGCACAGTTCAGACTGTACCCCAGACCATCACAGTCATCCCTGCCAACATTGGTGCGTCTACTAATGGGCTGCAGTCCATCTTTCAGACCTGCCAGATCGTTGGACAACCAGGTCTGGTCCTCACTCAGGTGGCTGGCAGCGGGAGCACCGTGCCTGTGGCGTCTCCCATCACCCTAACTGTAGCGGGGGTACCTGGAAACCAGCCCAAGGCAGCCGAAGCTTCAGCGCCTGAATCAAACGCTGACGTTTCGGCTTCCTCCGCCAGCACCTCGCTCAGTTTGGATGCAGGAGCTACGAAACCGAAGAAGTCCAAAGAGCAGCTGGCTGAGCTGAAGGCAAGCTACAGCAGGAGGCAGTTTGCCACAGAGGAGGAGATATCGAGGCTCATGGAGGTCACCAAACTCTCCAAAAGGGCGATAAAAAAGTGGTTCAGTGACACCCGCTATAACCAGAGAAACTCAAGGGATCACCACAGCTTGCTGCTGAGCGAAACTTCGTCCAGCAGAGCAGCTCTCTCAGGAGCAGGTCGGGCTGCGAGGAGCAGCAGCAACAGCTTTACTGAGAACATTAACAGCGAAACGCTTTCGGACTTAAGCACCACCACAGTGGGCACACCCACTACAGCCACCATGACTACCACAACCATAGTTATCGACTCCAGCGACGATGCCAGCGACTCCTCCCCAACTACTGCCAACGCTCCAAGTTCCTCTGTATCAGCGAGCGACCCACGTGTCAAATTCCGCCGCGCTTTTCCTGACTTTACGCCCCAGAGGTTCAAGGAAAAAACCACAGAGCAGCTGCAGATCCTGGAGGCCAGCTTCCAGAAATCAGACATGCCTTCAGACGAGGAGCTGAGCCGACTGCGTTCCGAAACCAAGCTGACGAGAAGGGAGGTGGACGCTTGGTTTACAGAGAGACGGAAAACGCCTTCAGCAGCGTTATTAAGAGACAGTGATACTGAGATGGAGGAAAAGGTCAAACCCACTACTACGCCTGCGGTATCTCAGGAGGGACAGACTACCACTCCGCCTGCAGGGAGGAAGATCCTAAAGAAGACCCCAGAACAGCTCCATGTTTTGAAGAAAGCCTTCGTTCGCACTCAGTGGCCGACATCCGAGGAGTATGATCAGATGGCAGAGGAGACCGGCCTGCCGCGGACCTACATCGTCAACTGGTTCGGAGACACGCGCTACGCCTGCAAAAACAGCAACCTAAAGTGGTACTACCTGTACCAGAGCGGCAAGGTGCTCAAACGCCCCTCTTAACTTTACATACTGGCTATTTTATTTGCTTTAACTTGTAGGACACCGGATTTCTGTGATGACATTTGTTGGTTAAAAAACCTTAACTTAGTTGTTTGCTGTTTGGTGGCTTTAAGGTGGATGAGGCATTGAACGGTGCAGGAAAGGGCCAGAAGAAGTCTAGGAAGCGAAGCCGAGGTTGGTCCAGGAGGACCCGCCGGCCGTCCCCCTGCAAACGTTCCCCACAAGGTGGCGCAGGACTCATCAAGGTCTGTGCCTCTGTTTATGTTGACCTGTGATTATAGAATACTCTACCAGGTTGCTCAACGCTTGTCATTCCAAAAAAAGTTAAAAAACAATCCATTGGAAGATGTTTCCAGGTTTAAAGATGTTTCGCTGCCCATCTAAGAAGCTTTTTCAATTCAAAATATCAGAATTGGCATTGAGTTTGAGGCTTTATAGAGTGAACTAAAACAAAGCCTTGTTTTTGGCTTAGAAAACATGAAAACTGAACCAGACAAACGGGTCCACCACTTAGGAATGGGGGTAGTTTAGGTTCTTTGTTAGCTTGCAATACCCGATACTGGTCTCTCCCTCTGAAATAGGGGTCGTTAAGGGGAATTGTTGGACCTGACCTCCAGGTTTGTTCCACCAGAAGGAGACCTGTGACCCAGTCACAGATAAAGCAGAAGATGCAACTATTTAATTTTGTTACTCTTGTATGTATATTTAAAGTCGTAGGGAAGTCATATTTAAATGTCAAATCATTCTGACTTAAACATGTATATATATGTATTCTTTATCAGACTATAAGGTCCCAAAAGTTAGAAAATTTATATAAAAAAAAAAATCCTGTCTTAAAAGCTTTTTTTTTGTTATCTTATGCAGGCCAGTTAGTTATGTGTCAGCTTGTACACCTGAATTTGACCAATCACATGTATCAATAGACATCTGTCAATCAATTTTTTTTTGGTCTTAGCATCTTGATTCAGATGTCCCAGCTAATATACGCAACAGTTGAAATAAAAATATTTACTTTGCCGTCGAGTTCTGTCCCAGCGTTCACGGGGATGGACATCTGTTTCTTCGGCAGGCGTAGAGCTAACAGAACTGGCAGTGTTGCGAGGTGAGGGCTCAAACATTTACGGCTGAAAGCCTTCTACACCAAACCAAGCTTCTGCTGCCCTGGCGTCCTCTTCCTTAACAACATCCTCAACATCTTTGTCCCTGCTTTCCTCTTCTAAATAAAAAATGTACGACGGAGGAGACCCATCCATGACCTCTGACACAACACTCTCCTCCTCTTGCATGTTTCCTCTGTCCATAGCGTTCCATGACGGTGTCTTTTCTAAGTCACCAATTTAGTGCTACTTGGTCCCAATGTAATTTTCCATTGGGAACCTCCTAGCACAAAGTTGCTAACTGGTTAGCAAGATGCTTCCGAGACACCGCCCACAACCAAACTTTGTTGTGGACATTCCGCCAAAACAATCCCGCCCCCTTTATAAACGACCAATCACATTCCCTTTATTCACTTGTGTAAAGACGGGCACCACTCGGGAGAATCCGGAAATGCAACATTTGGAACAGCCGCTTACCCACGACTTTAAAAAGGAACTGTAGTTTATGAAAAATGTCAAGAAATGTCTGTAGATAATTTATTCCGATATATAAAAAGTGGTCAGTAGCCAAACAGGAAGACTGAACAGAGGGCAAAAGGTTTCTTTGTTGAATATTCTGAAACCTGCCGATGGCGAAACAAGAAAAAATCAGCCAGACAATCTATTGGTCTACCTCGAACTTTCGAACACCTTAATAGGATCACAAAAGCTGGTGGCCTCTTATAGCGGAAATGGTAGAAATAATTGCATCTAAATGATTTAAGGATCTAGAGAAATCAAAAATGGACCACAATGCATCTAAAGTGTTATGCTATCAATCATAATGCCAAGGGTTTGTAGAAATTTGGACATCCACTCTTCCTGTGATAAACAAAATGTAATATAAGGCATAAATTCTACTGTTACTGAAGTCTTGGTATGTGTTTTATCTGCCTTTATGTCTCTTTTCAGGTGAAGTCTGGAAAGACGTTTCTAAAGGATTACTACCTCAAGCACAGAGCTCTGAGTGAGAAAGATCTGGACGATCTGGTGACAAAGTCTAAAATGAGTTACGAACAGGTGAGGGACTGGTTCTCTGATACAGCCAGAAGGGTGGAGGAGGGAAAGGAGCCATTCAGCGACGAGGACGGGGAGGAGGAGGATGAAGAGGAGGAGGAAGAAGAAGAGGAAGAGGTGGCAACAACTGAGTGTAGAGACAGTGAAGGAGAAATGGAGGCAAAAGAACAAGGAGAGGCTTCGTCAAAGGATGAGGAGGTCAAGGACGAGACAGAGGACCCCAGTGAGGAGGAGGAGAAAGGTGTACAGGAGGATCCTGAAGGTGTCGGCCAATCACAGCCTCAGACCGAGGAGCAGACATGAGCAGACAGGTGAGCTTTTAGCTCTGTAAAAGCAGCAACATAAACTCAGACTCACCATTCCATCTTGAAGCAATTCCTTTGGGTATTTCTTTTTTCCAGCTTGGAACGTTATACGGCATCCAACTACAAAAAAGTGCACAACTTTAATTAATTGCAGCTTTTTTTAATTCAGAAAAGGTCAAAACTTAACATCCAATCTATTTATTTCTTTTTTTATAGGCATTAACGAGCTTCAGTGAGATAATTTAAACATTTCAGATTTGCTAAAGCTAATCTGAGATGCTAACTGTTAGCATGCTTTTTAAAACCACAAACCTGTTGCTAACATTTCCTTTTTTTACTCTCAGTTGTTATGACCAGCTGCTGAGATTAAGCTTAAGGCTTTAGAGCTTCCGTATCCTTCCTTTATGAGCCTGTAGTACTGGTAACAGCAGCAGCCCTGCATAATGCTGCCACCTCCATGCTTTATAGCTGATATGTTGTTCTTTGGGTTTGATGCTTTACCTGGACTCCAAACGTCAAAACATTAAATCATACGGTCTGTGTTTTGAACCCACATTTTTATCAAACAATTTTATATCAACGTTTACAAGACCGTCTAAACATAAGTGAGAGGCTTGTTTTCATTCTGTTTTTTAGTTTATTTTCTTGTCATTTTAGTCTTTTAGTTGTATTTTTTTTAGTTGTTAGTTTATGTTCTTAGTTTTTGCCCAGCTCTCTTTAAATGGAAATGTCAAATTTGAGTTATTTTGGTGTCCAAACAGCCATTGTGGCTCATGGGTTGTTGTTTTTTTTAAAACCTTTTAATCAATTTGCGTTGATCTGAAGGGGACCGTTTGACTCAGCTAGATAAAACTTGACCTTGATACACACTCAAAAATTCATTTGGACCAGATAAGTCAGGGTAATATTAATCTTAAAAACTATTTCAACAATTTGTGAAAAATGCATAATTATTTGCCAGTTTTATTTATTTTTTAGGCCAATTTCTGAAGCCCATATTGTTTCTTCTTCCACTTTTTACATGATAAAAATGACACATTGATAACAAATGTTACACAAGTCTGAATTCCAAAAATAAAAAAACATTAACAAATCAAAGTCAATTCCGGTTTATATTGAATTCAGTTTATTTATTTAGTGCAAATTCACAACTATGTCATCTAAAGGCACTTTACACAGACGGTTCAATCAGAGCACACAGTCAGATACAGTTAAATTTTTCAATAAAACAAGATTTATAAATCCGTATTGAATTGGAGCCATTTTCTTTAATTTCCCGGCAAGTGGAAAAATTATTACAAATATTCTGCATGTTTTTTTTCTCCTGTGAAAATTTAATAATTGCTTGTATCTTCAATTTAAAGATTCAGCATTGCTGCCCCCACTGTGGAGACAACAGAGGACAATGCAAGACGTGTTTCTCAGCTGGAGAGTCAGACCCATAGATGGCTGCGGAGAGCTCAGACGGATCATACCACGTCTAACAAACGTGACATGATCAAGGTTTGTGGCTTGAGATGAAGTCGGGGTAACGATGCAGCTGAAAATCTCTGAGCCTGAGGAAGTGCAGGACGCCCGCTGTGGGTTTAGTTTCTTCTAAGTGATGGAAAGTGGGGACCAAGTGAATGCACAAAACAAAGCTTTTCACCAAACGTTTCTGTACTGCCCTCTTACAAGGAACAGGATTTTATTTCAGGACCTTTAGGTCCTTTTTCTTATAAAACAAAAGAAACTTTGTATAAAGGAAAAAAAAAAAACATCCAAAACATTTCTACTAATGTGAGACCTTGCATGGTTTGTCTCTTTTTTTGTGAAACATCGAAGAACTAGAAAACTTTTTCTCAAGGAAACGTTCTTTGCTCAAACCCATCAGTGACTTTTTGTTACCTCACAGTAAAAAAGGGTTTTTAAAACCTCAGTTTTCTGTGAATTTAAAATAAAATTCAGTGCCATTCAGTTAGGTTTATTTTCAGTTGAAAAATGCCACTGAAATGAAACTCAGTGTTTTAATCTGTCTGTATTTTTTTTTTTATCTTACAGTGAAAAAGAAGTTTGTAAAATGCAAACTGAATCTATTATACTGTTAAATTTGTGACTGAATATTTTCAAAGTGTCAGAATTTGTGTCCATTAAGTTTCAATTCCATTCAGATGTCTGTGAAGCAAAACAGACCTGCAGCAGTAAAGGCTGCTACATACTGCACCAGAACAGAGACGTGGTTTTCTGTCAGAACCGGGACGCTGTTCTCGCTCCTGCAGCAGTCGTTTTGTTCTGTAAGCCCTCTCTTTGGGGGGTATTGCTGCTTTTTGTTCTCGACACATACCGGGATGCCTACTGTACTGTGATTGGACAGGGTCTAGATGGGGGTGTTTAGGTTTGGAAAACAGAAATGTCTCATCTTGCATTTCCATCCAGGTTCTGCTTATTTGCAGCATTTCTCTTATGAGATATCCTAGTAGGGCAATCCCACCACCATAGCACCAATTGCTCCTGGTATTTGTAGGCTTTCCAAATGGCAAAAGAGCTATTATTGCTGTCTGCCCCTTCAATTTCAACCTTGCACCTCAAGAACAGCCTTCCTGCTTCTCGTGGCGTATGTAGCAGCCTTATTACAGGAGGTTATTGTGTGATCCAAGCAGGGAAAATCCACCTTTTTAACAGTAGAAATGCAATGAAATGGACTGAAAACTAGAACTGTAGCCAAAAAACATTAGCCACATCTACACTAGCCTTTTGAAACCGTGTTTAGAAGGTCCGAGCATGGTAACCGAGATAACTATTGAGTGTAAATGAAACGCAACTAAAACTGGATCGTGCCAGACACAACCGTGCAGCGCTAAATCTAGTACTAGTTTAACAGTAGGGCTCAGCATGGTTCAGTTGTCAGTTCTCTGATAACAAAGAGCCATGAGCAGACCACGTCATCTCCTTTTTACAGTCAGCTGACTCATTTTGCAGGTTTTCCACGTGTCCGGCTTTGCAATTCACTGATCTCTTCACCTGTTCACAACATGAACTTCTTCTCAGCCTGTTAGCAATAAATGGCATCAAAAGAGCGCGTTGTGACCTGGGATGATGCCGAGACCGAGGCTCTCATTGAAATTTGGACGGAGATGCTATCCAGGTATTTAAGTTCCTGAATGTTATGGGCGCTGCCATTTTTGTTTTCGTAATTCCTGCCTTGAGAGCAGTAATATCATAGACCACCGATAGGAGGCGAGGAACCATGCTAGCGTGGCGTGTAAATGGTCGTAAGAACTGAGCTCAGCATGGTTACCTGGTAGTTTTACTGTCATCATCTTGTCAAATTGGGTCTGAGACAAAAGTGAAAATCTGCCACTTTAAACAAACAATCTACAAAAAGTTATTTATTAACAGATAAAAAATGAGAGTCAGTACTCATTGGTCATTCTGTTAAATTATAAAAAAAGATCCCAAATGTAAAGACATAAACAAATACCATTATGGTTAAATTACTAATAAGTTTGTTAGATTTATATTAAGGTGGTTTTACTTAAATCCAGAAGTAGAAAATGAGGCACAACTAAATGTAACAACAGCTGTGATTGCAGGGAGATCAAAGATGTGACTCTCATTGCAACTTTTCGCTTTACTGCTTATTTTATTAAAATTACACTACAATGTTCAATTCAGTTTATTTCTATAGCGCCAATTCACACCACATGTCATCTCAAGGCACTTTACAGTTCACCAGATCATCCAGTCAAATTGATTACAAGTTTTCTATCTAAAGAAACCATATGACTGCATCGACTCATTGACTCGAAGGCAATCCCTCACACTAAGCATGCTTGTAGCGACAGTGGAGAGGAAAACTCCCTTTTAACAGGAAGGAACCTCCAGCAGAACCAGACTCAGCGTGAGCAGCCATCTGCTGAGGCCGACTGGGGTTCAAGGAGACAGAAGTAGACATAGAAAAAGAAGCAGAGATAGCAGAGAATGTTGACTGTCGCTGCACAAACAGATGGTTGCGCATCGACTGCCGCGGCTCCTTCTTCCACTGGCCATCGAAAAAAGGGATGCAAATTTGACTGATACAAAGAGAATTGAAAAGTTAGAACCAGCAACAAAGGATTCTCAGTGCCAGACCCCATTAACACTTGACTTTATGCTGATAATCATGCCAAACAAATATATCTTATGTCCTTCTGTTTGATCTCACTTTGACTTGATGAATTTTCAAACAGTTTACATCATCTAATTAAAATAAAACAACATTTTAAAAATGCTGTCATCGTGTGAAACAGTCAGGTTACATAAATCAGACTGATGCCAGAGGACATCACTCATAATCGCTTTAAACACTGCTAGAACTACTTTATAGAAAGTTGTCTTTAATTTAGTTTTTTTTTTATATATATATATATATATATATATATATATAAATGCATTTTTAGAGACTAGTGCTTTAAAATGTGTGAAAAAAAAAAATAAAAATTTACTTTCTAACTTTTGCATACTGGTCCATCCAAATGGCATTTTAGAACCACTATTGCTTTTGATGCATTATCACATAATTAGTTGCATAAGAAATATAAATTCCTTTTGTAAAAAAGGGTGTTATAAATATTGGAATAAATAAACAACTTGCACTTTTAGTTTTCCTTTATTTAAAGCTTTTGTCTCGGCTCCATGCTGGCAAATCATAGACCTGTATCATCAAAATAAAACCAATCACGAAATCTACTTCTGCGGGTAAGATGTTGACTGGACATAAACTCCATAAAACCTACTTAAACTTATTTCATCTTTTAAATTCTATTTAATAAGGAAGTGCCTAATTTGACAAGCATCATAAACTATTTATTCTCATTTAATCTCTGCTGGTCTTTATAAATTCCACATTATTTTAAGTCAGTTTTATTACTGAAATTTTAATAATTGGCAATTATTGGCTGTAATGTATTTTTGAATATTTGTAGAACATTGAATCATTTGTTGGAGATGGTGACACCATCTGAACCTTATCATCTTAAAGGCCAGAACACACAAAATATGATTTTGGTCGATCTGGCAGAAAATCATGTCAGACGAGGTTGTAGCGCTTAGAGTAAAGAGTCCGTTTTGAAGTCGCACATCGTGTGTATAATAGGCGGGACAGACTCGTGCAAAAACAATGAATGAAAAATAAATGAAAATAATAGGCTATTTTACCCATGGTAGGAGTTCAAGATGAGAGAAAACGGATAAAGTAGCGATCCTCTTTGAGCCTCGGAAAAGCAAGGAGGGACAGAAAACGCGGTTTATCAATCTCCTGTCCAAGTCCAATGTGGGGAATTGTTTAAATTTGTGTGGCACAGAGACAGAAGTGCAAAAAAACTTTGCAGATCTGTCTATCCTGTCTAGTCGGAGCCTCTCTATACACAAAAAAAAAATCAATTAAAAAGTACCACCTAGTGTGTTGACGGCTTCATACTGACTGCCTCCATGTTTTTGGAGAATTCCTAAACTCGCTAAAGAATCATTTTTGAGCGAAAAAGGGATTCAACCCCAAACTTTTGGTTTTATGTTCACAAAACAATCCAGATCCACACTTTCTCTTCTTCAGGAAACAAGCAACATTACCTCAGTCAGTAAAGCTACAAACTCAGTAAGATTGTGACAAATACAGATCTACCCGGAGGGTTTTCTTAAAGAACTCAATACTGTATGCATGATAATAAGAGTACATAGTAATTATGTCTTTCAGATGGCGTTCTTCTTTTATGTCTTCGTCACCAAAGTAAGTAAATGAGTTTAGAAAACAGAGACTAACAGTTTAGTGCTTTTATCGACTCTAATACGGGTGAATTAATAAAGTCTTTCAGGTTGTTCCACATAAATTAGACGATATTATAGGAACAATAAATCATAGGCACCTGGCTTTGTTTTTATCTTTTTAAGACTTTATGAAATGTAAAGTAAAAAAAAAAATAATTTACTTGCTTTCCTCTGCTTTCTCTTCTGTTTGAACTGAATCATGTCTGGATATTCAAAGAAAGCTGTCAGTTCTGGTGGACTGTCCAATCGGTGTTTCCTTTTGGTTTGTGATTATTTCATCTGCAACATGGATCCTCATGTAGGAGCTGGAATTAAGCTGCGCCTTTTCTGCTTTTTTGCAACTGCTTTAATAGCCAACAGTTTTTAGTAGGTAATTTATTTATTATATCTGAACTTTTACGGATACCTTTTCTTGTCTGCGAGGTGAAAAATAAAAAGTGAAAAACTGAGCTGAGTTTGATGTGGGTTTTTATTTTCTACGCCTCAAAGGATTTTCTCTATAATGAGTATCTAAGTGATGTTTTTGACTTAAATGCCATGTCTTGAGGTGAGACCTTTGACCTGGTTCAGATTTGTCTCATTAGCTGCCCTTTTATTTAGATCCTTTTTTTTTAATTTAACCATTTATTATTTGTCTCTGTTGGCCATTTAGTTTAGAAATATAGATATAATTCATTCCCCCCTACAGATTTAGCTAATACCTTTTTTTTTTTCTGCCAACAATTCCAGAGCGAGAAAACATAATAATATAAAACATGTTTGGTGTTACTTTTTTTGCTTTCATCTTCTTGTTTTTTAATTGTGGTGCCAACAAAGCTTTTTATATGCAAATGATCATTTTAGGGGAGCTTCACTACCGATTTGTGCATACAGATAGTGGTGCTAATCAGGCTTGTTTTTGTGCTTACAAATTCACCATGATTGCAATTTATAAAAGAACAACATGTACTCGCAGCTTTATAA